GCCCCCGATATTGCCGCGAGTTCACGTGCGCCCCTGCGTAGTCTGGCCTTTGCGCCACACGCCCTTATTGGGCGCCTGCTGCTCGGCATGCAGCGCCGGGTGGGAGAGCAGGGCCAGCGGCCAAGACCCGCCCCGAGACTGGTGGGGAAAGGCCAGCGAAGAGGGTCTCCCGGACAGCAGGCACGGTGAGACCCCCATTCCGCTGAGTGTTCCCGGGGTTCACACCTACTCCCGGACGTGTGCGGCGTGAGAAGAGAGGGAACGCAGGGATTCCGCAGAGAGAGTCCACAAGATGCCCCGCTGAGCAGGAGGCAACGCCAACCTAGGGGTGGTGGGCCCCAGTGCCCACTGCTGGAGAGAGAAAGGGACGAGTGATGACCTTCGAAAAAGCAAAAATCAGAAATAACTGTGTCAAAGTCAACGGTGGCTTGAAGCTGTGCAGTGAATGTGCCCGTCATCGTTTGTTCCATACTTTGAAATCATGTTTTAGCAAAGCATTGTCATAATAAAGTTGGTATCTCCTACAACGATAGGGACCCTCTTGTTGGAATCCACACAAGGGCAGTAAGTTTTGTTTTGTTTTTTTTCAGAATGCCTCCCGAAGCCTAGATTGTGATCCAAGTGAGTTTTATAAAGGACAGAAAATTTGGGTTGTACACAGGCACCAGCAGGGCACACCCACACCACGTGGAGTCCTGAGGCCAGAGGAGATCCCCCTAATGGCCCACCGAGAAGCAGCTTGGGGGAAAAAAGAGGGGGGGGGGGTCCTGAGCCTTCCGGATTCTGCCTATTTCAGGCCCTCCGCTGGGAGGCCGTGGTCAACGATACTGGTTGACCACCTTGGCTGAATTAAGCTCACCTGGCCTGGATGGAAGCCAATCCAAGGAGCACTATCCTTTCCTGTCTTGGAGCCCAAATCTCTGAGCATGCCCAGGGGACACCCTGGGCCCTGTTCTAACTACCTAACAGTTACACCAAAGGCTCAAACATACGAACAACTGTGAGGATGAGGAAGGATTGGGCAGTGTGGTGTCCCTGTCGTGTTGTACATCAAGTTGCTGTGAGTCAGAGCAGACTGGGTGGCACCTAACAACAGTATATGCCTGTGAAAGCAGGAAGCCGAATAAGGACGACCTCCAAAGAAATGCATATGAATTATGGTATGGGTGAAGAGCAGTGAAAGTGCCATGAACCGCCAGAACAAACAAACCTGCCTTGGAAGAATTACAGGCAGAGTGCTCTTAAAAGCAGGACTTCTTTCTTACTCCCCCAGTCCCTGGAGAAGGACATTATACTTGGTAAAGTGGAAGGTTAGTGAAAAAGAAGAAGACCCTTGCGGTAGTTACATAATCTGGTGTCGATTGGGGACTTGAGAGGATTAAGAGTGAAGGGGTGGAGTCTAGTCTGTCAAGTGGGTCATAGCCAGTGAGGCCTCTGTGTGGGCATGGTCTCCTCAGAATTCTGGGAAATCCAATATTCCTTCTTGCAGGCAGGAGACGCTCTACTGACAAGACACATGGCGCTAAGCTAATAGACCCCATGCCCTGGGAATTGGGGGAGTCACATGGAGACCCCTGCCAGTGCTGAGATGCTTCTACTGCCACTAGATCCACAAGACAATGCGCCCACTGGCCTGTGATCCTCCTGCATTCAGCATCACTGCATGTGTTTCATGAGTCTGAAGAGGACTTTATAGATTGGTATCAGACATATGAGCTAATATAGGACTTCTGGACTTGATCCGGGCTGGGATGTGTTCTCAATATTAACTTCTCCTGTATGTAAACTCTTATACAAGTGTCTGTGAATCTGTTTCTCTAGTCAACCCTGAATAACACAACCCTCTTGGAGATGGATTGACAGAAGGACTGCATGATTAGTTCAAACCTAGGTAATGTTACAGAAATGACTCCGGACCTGGTGATAGACCCATTCATCCTGAACTACAAAGTCTCACTGTCACCGAGTTGATGCTGACTCAAGAGACCCACCTGTGGGTTTCTGAGAGAGTGACTATTAATGGGAATATAAAGCCCAGTCTTTCACCCTCACAGCTGCTGGTGGTTTCAAACTATTGACCATGTGGACCACAGCCCAACTTATCACCACTACACCACCAGTGCTCTCGAACTACTCAGTAGCAACTAAAAACAACAGGTAGAGTGTTACTTATACTTGTATCACCTGTGACTGGCTTTACCCAGGTATCTGTGTTTATTTAAAGAATAAAAGAATCCTTGGAGCCCTGGGTTTTTAGTGTTCTCCTGGTCTCTGCACAACCGTGGGACTGCAAAGCTTGTCTATTCAAATGCAGAGGGTAGAGGAAGCCCAGGAGGCAGAAGTAAGGGTGTCAGCCGAGTCCCTGGTGACACAGCCCTCTAAGAAGAAGAGAACAAAGGATTGAAACAATACAACCTGGAATTTCTGACCCAGAAAAGTCAAGAGGAGCAGGAATTGGAAAGCAAAACTCGCTGCCATCAGGACGATTCTGATTATAAGACAGGGTAGAATGAAGACCAGCACAAAAGGTGCAAAGGAAGGAGGATACAGAACATCTGTCCACTGCAGATCTGCCTGACTAAGGACTGGAGAGGGTGAATAAGTAGCAAGCCATCCTGGATGGCTTCAAAAAAAGAGTATTTCCACGTCAGAATAGATACAGCCAGGGGGGGAAATGAGCTGATGCCAGGGGCTTAAGTGGAGAGCAAATGTTTTGAGAATGATGAGGGCAATGAATGTACAAATGTGCTTTACACAATTGATGTATGTATGGATTGTGATAAGAATTGTATGAGCCCCTAATAGAATGATTTAAAAAATAAAGCAAAAAAAAGGTTCTAAAATTGATTATGGTAAAGATTGTACAGTTCTTGAAATAATTGAGTTGTATGATATGTGGAAGAAGTGCCAATAAAACTTTAATTTTTTTTTTTAATTTGCAAACAAAAAAAGAATAGGTACAGCCAGATGAGTACAGGTAGTTTCTCCTTGGGCAAGTGAAAACAGTAAAACAGTGGGAAATTGAGTCGTTCAGAAAATGTCACGTATGCTCTCAAGAAATGAATAAAACATATACAGTATCCAAGAGAATTACTATGTTAAAGAGAAAACAAAGGATTTTATGAGGTGAGAAAAATAGATAACAATGATAGCAATGATAAGAATTCATGTAAATGGACTAAATCCACCTTTTTTTTCCTTAAGAAAAACTGGATCATAGACTAGATGAAAAAGACAAAATCCAAACCTATGCATGGTATTTTTTTTAAAAACAACACAAAGAAAAGCGTGATCAATTAAAAGCCTGGATCAAATAAACCGTGCGTGCACGGATGCAAAGGTAACGGGTCTCGGCTTGACTGAGTCAATTGTGTTCATCCCAGGATTCCAGCAGATCTGGGCATGCCCAAAACACCAATGGGCGGACCCACTGGAGGCCTATTTACCTGGACAGTGAGCCGTCAAAGAGAAGCCCTTCAGAAGAGACTACAGAAAGGAGTAAAGGGAGCAGGTCAACATGAGGCTGTGTGCACCAGGGAGAGTGAGTCCCCCAAACAACCTGCCTTACACTGTAAGTCTTCCTCCGAAGGGCGTGCCAGCAGAGGAGGGGTGGTGTTGCAGCACGTTGGCCTGACGCTCTACAATAGTCCATTCATTGGCCCCAACCTCCCGCTCTGCCCCAGCCTCACTGCGGGATCCAGCAAGTCTGTGCACCTCCGTGGCCCCAATTTCTTCTACATAAAGAAGGAATCAGAAGAACTGATCCAAACAGGAAAATTGGGAAATCGCTTTCTCAAGAGTACATTAAGTTTTCACAGAAGTTAATTGGCATTTTGAATACAAAAGTATTCTGGGTGAGGAAAAAAAAAAGACCCTGCACACACGTTCTAAGACTACAATAGCAAAAAATTAAAAAATTTTAAGAGAGAAAACCATACACCCAACCATACATGAACGGGTAAGAATGGCGAAGGAACTGCCAAGTTGGAGAGGAGGTGCCAGCCGTGGAGAGGGGTTATTTTAAAGACCAGAGAGATACGTAATCAAGGCTGTATGAGAGGTGCTTTCGAA